TATATATATATATATATATATATATATATATATATATATATATATATATATATATATATATATATATATATATATATACCTTATTGTTTCGGTGTCATTATGTGGTATTTTCGTGATTGCAGCTCAACTACGTGGTCATTCCGTGAACGATTTCGATATTAGAAAGGAACCCACAGTTTGCCGGCTTCTTCTTCCACCAACCACCGCGAGCAAGCGAGCGAGAGAGAGAGAGAGAGAGAGAGAGAGAGAGAGAGAGATCGTCTTGATTTCGTACCGTCTGCTGTGGTGGGATCGGTTGTCCGGATCAGCCCGCGGAGAGGACCCCAGGGATCGATTTCGATGGATTGCTGAGGAACTCCGCCTTCAGTGGGGCGAGGAGAATCCGGTCCGGAGTCGATGGGAAGCTGCCTGTCTCAGGATGAACAGAGTTAGTATTACTTCTCTTATTCCCTATGTAAGAATCGTCTTCATTATACTCGCCATCATAATAGTGTTCACGAACTCTGTAAAGTTAAGCTTCCTGATTTGGTTCTTTCTCGAAGTTGGACCAGCTTCAGATCCCTCTTTGGCATTTACCCCAACATCAAACCCTTTTTCTACTGAATACCAAGTTAGATGGTTCTTGGTCCCGTTCTTGCTGTACTTGGCAGCAACTATGAATCGATAGATGGAACTTCTCCGGCTAGGTTTTGGGTTCCTTATCTAACACCCGTATTTGAGGTGAAACAAGATTGAATTGAATTATAGGTATTTAATGAGTGTATTGTTATTGATTTGATATAAATTGATGGATACGTTATCGGATTATGACAACTGATATTAAAGATGATGTAGTTGACTATGTGGTTCTAAATGAGTCAATTATTCTAAATTAATTGATCAAAAAAATATTATAATTAATTGTACTTGATTTTGCTCCGTTTGGTCACTGCTTAGCTGCTTCTACCATCTACATATCTTCTTTTTTTTTAACCAGAGCAAAAAAGATAACTTGTATTTTATGAATACATAAGTGATAGAAGAATCATCACTCAAAAAAGATAAAAAAGATCTGGCTAGTCACCTCTCCATAAAAAATAGTTTTAGTTGTTCAGGCGTATCGAGCCAGTCAATCTACAGATCTATTTCCTTCTCAATAAATATGAAAAATTTTGACTTCGTGGAAGGAATCTAATAATGACTTTACATTCCTCAAAACATTAATCACTCTCCAAGGTAGCGCCAAAATTTTGGAAAGAAGTTTCAGCAGCTCGATAGAGTCCGATTCAATCTCTAGGAGTCTCACTTTTTACCTAGCGCCTCGGACGTTTTTGTACCTTGGCGCCTAGCACTTTTTAAATCACTGTTTAATACCTTCCTATCACAAAGAAAAGAGAAATGAGTGAAACAAAAAAGCATTCACAAGATAAAAATTATGCATTCCTTTTCAGATCAGCAATTCAACTACCTTGTATTGCAGAATTTTCCTGTATCAATTTTCTTTTATTTAAATGTCCAAAAGAAGAATAAAAATTTTGGACATCTTGTCACACTATTGCATATGTCAATCGGGCCGAATGAGTGGCAGATGTAATCAATCAAGATTATTGTGAAGAAAAAAAGATATGGTGTTGTCTTATGTTTGATATCAGCCTGTTTGTGGCATATTGTACAGCTTATGAGCTTCTATTCCGATATCTTATCTGAACTTTGCCTGCTGAAACAGGCAATGCTGCTGGATTGCCACAACAGGCAGATCAGCAGAAAGATCCATGTCAACCGAATGTAGTAAGCCTACTGCCCCTTCCCAAAGATGTTGAAGATTTGCGGCTCACAGTTGGATACGGAAATGTCTACATATTCACATATAGTGAGTTAAGTGCAGCTACCAAGAATTTCCGTGCAGATCAAGTTCTTGGAGAGGGGGGTTTTGGAATTGTGTATAAAGGTATTATAGATGAGAATGTGAGGCCAGGCTTCGAGTCCACCCAAGTGGCAGTGAAGAAGTTGAATCCAGAAGGCGTGCAGGGGGACAAGGAATGGCTGGTATTTTCCCTGTCATAAGATCTCTTTATTGCATTATTTAACAGAACATGTTCATTTTGATTCAGCATGATTGATATTGAAATTGGTTCCATGATTTGTCTAAATCAACATAGTTCAAAGAGTGTCAACAACTTGATAGATTGAATTATTCAACTTTGACATGTTAGAATTACTTGAATAATCTTAGATCTGTATTGCCATGGCATCTCAAACACCTAAATAAACCGGCAAATAGCAAGGAAGTCTGCATTCTCAATCTACTGTCTCCTTAATTTTGGTTTTCTTGAAATGAATCATTTGCAAAATCGTTTGCAGTAAACACCATCTACAGAGACTTAAAGAAGCACTTATCAAATAAAGAATTACAATAACTAGGTGAAGAGTAATAATTTTATGTTATCTACTTCCTTTTAAGGCTTTGATTTTTGGTAACTGTTATTATACCTAAGGCCTTGTTTGACATGTAATCAGATTGAGTCATGGCATAACTGAGAGTACTTTATGCCAAGTTAGGTTTCACAAAGTTGTGCATTGGAATCAAAATATGAAATGTGCTACTGTAAAACATATCTGACCAAAATTCTAGGAGAACAAAGTTAGTCAATTGGGCTTCACCATGGAAAGAGCACCTTAATTACTGTAATTGGAGTTTCCCTGGGTGCACTTCATCAAAAAATTCCTGAGAGTTATTGACATTTGTTGTCTATATGCATCTGATAACTTCGAGACAAATTTGTTCATCAAGCTTGATAGTTTCATAACGAATTTTGGATCTAATGAATGCCTTTTGGTTCGTCAGGCAGAAGTCAATTATCTCGGGCAATTAAGTCATCCAAATCTTGTTAAACTCATTGGATACTGCTGTGAAGATGATCACAGGCTGCTGGTTTATGAGTATATGGCTTGCGGCAGTCTTGAAAAGCACCTTTTCCGACGTAAGTGGTCGAATGAATAACTTGCATAAAGGGTATTCAAAGTTCTTACAGTATCTGTTCTATTTTTCTACCATCATAAGTTACCATTCTAGAAAATAGCAATACATGGATTTTATCTTGTCAAATCAGTACCTCCATATTCTATCATCAAAGCTTATCATAACAGCTACCATATCAGAAAGTCATTCTTTTGAACGTCACAGAGAACTTTTTCTTACAATTCTAGCTGATGTTTTCTTTGAACCTTTTACAAATTTTAGGTACTGTTGTAACAATGTTGGCGAAGTGAATCTATTACTGCTGCTGAAGATGTGTCTAACTCCAAAGATTAGTAATACAAATTCTCACTGAACTAATCTCCAATGACATGTCCAGAGTAAAATGTGTAGTAAAAGCAACATGCATACGAATCATTTTATTTGCATTTCAAATAAGTACAGATGGCAGCCAGTAGATTTGCATGAAAGGCATAGCAAGTATCAAAACATGTGCAATATCGGGATATCTTTTGCTATCATAATAACTTGTTATTATGTTCCACGGATAACTTTTTGGATTTGTGGTTTCTTGGTTAACCGATTCCAGTTTTGAAACAGGGGTTTGCCTAACAATGCAATGGTCCACTCGGATGAAGATAGCTCTGGGTGCTGCAAATGGACTTGCCTTTCTTCATGGAGCTGAAAGACCCATAATTTATAGGGATTTTAAGACATCAAACATTTTGCTAGATTCGGTTTGTGCTCATCTTTTGGTCAAAAGTTCTACTTTAGGTTCTTTCTGGTCTATCATTCATTTCATAATCCATATATTGTGGATGCCTCTGACTCAGCTTCTTATGTTGATTGAGTGTATGAATGATTGTATTTACTTTTTGCATGTCTACTGCAATATGTTGCAGGCCTATAATCCTAAGCTTTCGGACTTTGGCCTTGCAAAGGAGGGACCCATTGGAGACCAAACGCATGTTTCCACTCGAGTCGTGGGTACACAAGGATATGCAGCTCCTGAGTACATTATGACCGGTGAGTCTTCTACAAGAACAACCCAAGTTTTACTTGAGTCTAAGTGCAATCATGATAATTGATGGGTAATGCATTATCCACCTCTTTATTTGCTCAAAATCTAGTTCCATTGCCATTCTATATTTAGTCGGGTGATCCCCTACTTTATCTAATAAGGTATATATATATATATATATATATATATATATATCTAATAGGGTAACAATCAACTTAGTACTTTTGAGTTTTTTTTAAAAAAGTTTTTATTATAACAAATGACACGTATATGATGTTCATACTTGAATTCGAACCTAAGTTTCATCACTTGTGCAATGTATATTGTATTAATTAACCCGAATGTCTTTGAGTTATTAATAAAGGAACAATAAGTACGTTTAGGCATCTAGCGAGAAACTGAACCCCTCGACCTCGGGATAGAGATCCAAATACGTACCAATAGATTGAGTTGTTGAATATTATGTGACGAATCTTTAGCAGGCAGAATAATATTACCTTCTTTATATAAATCACATGGTTTCATTCGTCATAGGCCACTTGACGGCGAGGAGCGATGTCTATGGCTTCGGCGTCGTCCTCCTGGAGATTCTTACGGGGAAGAAGGCAGTGGACAAGAGCAGGCCGGCTCGGGAACAGAACCTGGTCGACTGGGCTCGCCCCCTCCTGCCACACAGCAGGAAGCTCCCCAAGATAATGGACCCACGAATCGAAGGGCAGTACTCGAGCACGGTGGCGGCGGAGGTGGCCGGGCTGGCGCTCCGCTGCCTCAGCCAGAACCCTAAAGGGAGACCCACCATGAACCAGGTGGTCGACACCCTAGAGAGCGTTCAAGACCCGCACGGCAGCAGGGAGGAGGTGCTGCTTCTCTTCGAAGCCCCCAAAGCGAGCAGCAGCGACAGCTCCTCGGCCAAGAAGGGGGAGGAAAGCCGGAGACGAAGCAAGCAGGGAAAGGGGCGGAGCAAAAGCGAGCCCCCCGCGGGCTTCAACGTCTCCAGCTGCTCGCCGGATGCCGATGGTCAGTCTCATCAACGCATGGAATCGGCAGGTCCACCTGTTGATTGAGTGCGCATGGCGCTTTCTTTCCCTTTGGTTTATGGACTTGATGGTAGCAATTTCCAGTCTATTTGTAATTGGTGTTCTTGACCCCTAAACACTCATTATAGATGTAATTAAAGGTGACATCATCTTTTTGCTTGCTATTGATGTCGCTCGTCGTCAATATTTATCCGAGGAAAAAAAAAGAAGAGAGAGAGAGAGAGAGAGAGAGAGAGAGAGAGAGACGAGAAGGAAGAAGAAATAAATATTTACCTGCATTTAAAAAAGATAATTTTAAAAAATAAAATAAAATTATAAATAATAAAAAAAGATTGCGAATGGTAATATCTTCTTATTATATTAGTGTCGCATGCCCATTTGTCATGCATTTGGGTCCATCGGAAGCCAATGGCTCCATAGAACGGCACGTTTGGCTCCAAAAATTAGAACGGACTAACTCGGTCAAGAGGTGAAGCGCAAAACTCTGCCACCCCTTATCCCCTCTACGCCCATCCGAGTCAAATAGAAAGGCCGTAGCACTTCTCAAGGAGGTGCAGAAGCAGCAGCAGCAGCAGCAGGGGAAGAAGAGAGGCAGAAGAAAGGAGAAGCAGAGGAGAAAGACCTTCTGCTTTCCTTCTTCCCCTGTGGCCTCAAAGAAAGAGAAAGAGAGGTACCAAGAGAAGGGAGAGGAGGGGGCAGAGGAGCTGACCTTCTCTGCTACTTTTCTTTGCATCTCTTCTTCTTCTTATTCTTCTCTTTGCCAAAAAAGAGCGATGCCGGAGGGATCGGATCGATCGTCGTTCCCGCTTATCGCGGTGGCCGTCGACAAGGACAAGAGCAGCCAGAACGCTCTGAAGTGGGCTCTGGACAACGTCGCCGTCAAGGGCCAAACCATCTTCCTCGTCCACGTGATCACCAAGCTTTCAGGTAAGCTTTGTTGCAGCAATGGCGCCTGCTTGGCTCTTGGTAGCATCAGTGCTCCCAGGTTGTTGCTCATTCTCTTTCTGATGTGATGCAGCGGGTCATCAAGAAGATGTGACATCCGCAGCCAGTCAACTGCTCGTTCCATTCCGGTGCTTCTGCAAACGCAAAAATGTGGGTAACCCCCTGCACAAATGCACAGTATGAATCACTACTGGCTTCGATTCTATCCGGTATAACAATTAATACTATCAATACATGCTTTAGTGTCATAAGCAAGTTTATGCAAATTGGCCTGTCAAAACCAAGAAAGAAAACAAGAGAGGGGATGGATCACTAACGGTTTAGTACATTGAAATGCTTAACAAATGTAAGTCCTGTTATACTAGGAGAAAAGAATTTGAATCCTGATTAGATTCGGTATGTACTGATAGGTATTTGCTGATCAGACCCAAATACTGATATCTTATAACCCGATACCTTTGAATTTTTAGTATCTTATTCAGTATATCGCCCGGTATACCGGTTCGGTTTGGAACGGTCCACAAGATCACTGAAACCTGTATTGAAACGGTATTTAAATCCATAGTAAGACAAAAAAAAGAATAAACATAATAGAGTTATGTAAACATCTAATCTAGGGTGATTTCATTGGATATCTCTACATATCTAAGATTTTGCATATTACCTGCTTGAATGATTTGGCATTAATTGAATGAGACCAAAGGAGTCTTACCTGTGATTGAAAAATATGAAATTATTCCACAGCTGAAAGAACTTTTGCGGATCTTTGGTCATGCAAGATTGTTTGCTCTTCTTATATGAAGTGCCCATGATGTTCTTCAGATAAGAAGCCTGAAATCAAGAAATGGTGGTTGAGAATCACATCAAATGATTTGATAATTAAGAATCACACTGGGATTAGAGCAACCATAGTCCCAAAAACATCCAGAAGATCTGTTCCTAGAAGTCAGATCCTGAGTCTCACCTTTGTTTGCCTTTCATTTAGAGAAACATTGGACCGTCAGTCTTGCAATCCGCTAATACTCTTTCATAGTTGTCATGCAAGATGGTTGTAATCAATTAAGGAGATGCAATCCTTGGAACTATCAGTCACTTATTCAGTTTTGAGTATTTAACAGGTTAGGTGCAAGGATATCATACTGGAGGATACCGATTTAGCAAAGGCAATTGTTGACTTTGTTTCCCATGCTGGAGTAGAGAAGCTGATAGTAGGAGCATCAAAAGGCGGATTTGTTAGGTGATACTAATATTCCCAAGCAACACACCATAACAAACAGGATCTCTGTGTTCTCCAGACATACTTACCAGCTTTTTTCTCTCAGATCATTTAGATACACAGACGTCAGCACCAACATCTGCAAAAGCGTGCCTGATTTCTGCACAGTTTATATCATCTCCAAAGGGAAGATCTCTTCTATGAGAAATGCTGTCCGATCAGCACCAGTTGTTACTCCTTTACGATCTCAAATCCTAAAACAACCAAGTTCTGTACCTGAGCCCGTCGTGTACCAGAATTCTCAAGGCACAAAAGGTTTTTTTTGTAATGAGCATCATCAACTATTGTTACCTTGTCACTTGCTTGGTGAAGACAAGTTTTTGCTAGTTTCTTTACCGGAGAAAACTAATAAGTTTCCTTTTGCCAGGTAATGCTGCATTTGAGACTCGGAATCTGTATAAAGAAAAAGAATCAATCAGGTAAGAGTAGAGATGATGCAAACTAAAATGACAAAGACAGTGGCAACTTTTTAGACTTCATCTAATCATTTTAAATTTCTGCCTTAAAACAGGTCACCATTAAACAGCACAACACGTGTCCAGAGCACAAAATCCAAAGAAGAGACAATGTCAGGCAGTGATGAACCATTTTTTAGTAGTGGGAAGCCAAGCATTGATCACCTTTTCCCGCAGAGATTGTCCTGCATATCAGATGGCCTTGATTGCAGCTTTGAGTCAGTGCAATCACCACACAGGTCATCATTGGATGCTTACTCATCTAGGAGTGGTTTCTCTCCTCGATCCAATGGGAGCTTTTCATCTCAAATGTCGGTACGTGCACTTCCTTTCCATTAGCAAAGTAATGAAGAGAATCTAAGTTGAAGTATAAATACTTCAGTGGTAAGCAGAAAATGCCACTTACCAATTCCAATCATATTGAAGCTTTATGCCTGATCACATAATAAATACACATACCTTGGAACATGTAGGAAGAAGTGAAAGCAGAGATGAATAGGCTGAAGTTAGAGCTCAAGCAGACAATGGATATGTACAGCACAGCATGCAGAGAAGCACTCACGGCTAAACAGAAGGTAATGTTTCCATGAAAACCTCCAAAATTGAGTTCCTTTCGTGATGATTTCTTTTGATGCAGGCAATGGAGCTCCACCGGTGGAAGATGGAGGAACAACAAAGACTAGAAGAAGCTCAACTAGCAGAAGAAGCTGCCTTGATCCTAGCTGATAAGGAGAAAGCAAAATGTAAGGCAGCATTGGAGGCAGCTGAAGCGGCCAAACGAATTGCAGAACTGGAAGCGCAGAAAAGAATAAATGCAGAGATGCAAGCACTCCAAGAACCTGGGAAGAAAAAGTCCTCAAGTATTTTGTCCAAGACTGACCTGAGGTATAGGAAATACACAATTGAGGATATAGAAGCAGCCACAGAAAACTTTGCAGAGAACCGGAAAATTGGGGAAGGTGGGTATGGTCCTGTCTACAGGTGCTATCTTGATCACACCCCTGTTGCCATTAAGGCACTGCGACCAGATGCATCCCAAGGGAGATCACAGTTTCAGCAAGAGGTATCTAGTATTATCACACACAGCTGCATTTCAAACTGTTGGAAATCTTGAAATCATTTAGAAACACGAATACTTTGAAATGATCACAAGAATTAGACCCATGTTATAGAAGAATTGCCGATTGATAACCTTTCCCATGTTTCAACTTTGTTGCTCAGGTTGAAATACTAAGTTGCATTCGGCATCCAAATATGGTTCTTCTCCTCGGTGCCTGCCCAGAATACGGTTGCCTTGTATATGAATACATGGCAAATGGGAGCTTGGAGGACCGCTTATACCGGCGAGGAAATACACCACCCATCCCCTGGCAGCATAGGTTCCGCATTGCTGCAGAGATCGGCACAGGGCTCCTTTTCCTCCATCAAACTAAGCCAGAGCCATTGGTTCATAGAGACCTTAAGCCTGCAAATATCCTCCTCGACCAATATTATGTGAGCAAAATTAGTGATGTCGGCCTAGCCCGCCTGGTACCCCCATCTGTGGCAGACAGTGTCACCCAGTATCATATGACATCTGCAGCTGGAACATTCTGTTACATCGATCCAGAATATCAACAGACTGGAATGCTAGGCATAAAGTCTGACATATACTCTTTTGGAGTCTTGTTGTTGCAGCTACTCACTGGGAAACCTCCCATGGGGCTGACTCATCATGTGGAGCGTTCAATTGAGAAAGGAACATTTGCAGATATGCTGGATCCTGCAGTCCAAGATTGGCCAGTCGAGGAAGCTTTAGGTTTATTGAAGTTAGCACTTAAATGTGCAGAGCTAAGACGGAAAGACCGGCCGGATCTTGGAACGATCATATTGCCAGAGCTCAACAGATTGAGAACACTAGGGGAAGAAAATATGCAACATTTTGTGCTCAGGAACTGCTTCCGTACCTCAAATATTTACAATCAAATTCCCATGCAAGTAAGGATTCCATTCATTGTCTCCTTTTCTCATTCTGTCCAGGTTAGCTGACAGCACCTAACAAACTAGACTAACAAGATCGAACCATGCTTAGTGAAGTCCAGAAGTATATGCAAAAGAACAAAGGAGAATACATATGAAATAGCAAAAAAATGTATAGTTACTTGACTCCAGTGCATAACTTTTCATAGTCAATTAAAGATAGGCATTCAGGTATGCAACTATAATATCCTCATAGTCATAGATAGGAGTTGTGACATGATCTGCGATTTGAGCAAGTCCGATATACACTCAATGGAGATTGTGCACAAAACAGAAGATCTAATCCTTCACAATAGAATTATTTCTTTAATGGCAAAAAGAGGAATGTTTCCAAGAAGAATCTAAGTTCCTAAATTAATCATCTACAATCTTTTCTTTTTTCTATTTCATCAGGAACTCAAGAGTGGTCCTGCATAATTGAGGCCAGGATACGAAAGCAAAGAAGCCAATATAGTGAACCATCCATCATCGGAAGATGATTGAGCACCACCTGAGAATTTGGCAATGGCTTCCTTAGATCTGAGAAGGTTCTTGCCCCATGTTCTTAAGAAACCAAAAGTGACATACTTGCCTTCAACTGTTGAAGGCAGCTTCTCAATTTTGGTTGCACTATAACCTAAACAGTCTTTACGGTTACTTAACAGTAGAATTCTCCTTCTCGTGGAGCGCTCATCAACAATATTTAGTTGTCAAGGAAATAGAACCAAGGAAAAGTGGTTGCAAGCCAAGTCGCTAATAATTTCTGTTTCTGCTTCTTGACAATGTCAAGAGCTCTAGATAGCAAGAAGCGTATTTGTGCAAATCATACATTGTAAAGTTGAAAAAAACCCTGCCCTTTTGAAGATGTATATTGGTAATACTACAACTTTGTTTGAATTCTCTGTCGACTTCCTTTTAAGGTTTCTGCAATTTATCCTACGAATAATTCTTCACAATTTCCTCCATATAGGAAAACATGCTTCAGGGCAGCAACAAACCAAGTATCCTTGCAATATGACAAACAAGTGTAAGTACAATGAGCTAATGACTCGTAAGCTATCACCTACCGAAAGACCTAAATCTAAGCTGATGAGATAGTCCTCACATTTCCACTACAATCACCACAATTTTACCGAATCGCTAAGATGAGGTTAACTAGATACCTAATCTGCATCATCCACTAGCTTTTCTAAGTTGTTCATCGTATACAATTCATGGGTTGCCAATTGAAAGTTCTAAGTTTGTGGAAATAGTCACAATTAATTTCGTCAATCCGTCATAAGGTCGTTCTAATGATTTCAGCAAATGACAACTCCAAAATTAGCCAAAAAAGAAAAAATAAAAATAAAAATAAAAAACCTAAAATGCAGTGCTCTGTGAACGTCACAAACATTGTAAAAAGGCTTCTTCCAGTAGGTTTTGTTCAATCTCTTCACCCTACAAACTCTTTCATAATCTCAACAACAATCCCCTTTCCACCCGCATGACCCTCCACACGTGGCATCAACGACAATGCTCCGAGACTAGCATCAACCTCGATTCAAGACAAAAAAAAGTCACTTCCTCTCTCACCTCGAGCATCTAAGAATCGAAGCTTGCGTCCTCAATCGATAAGAAATGAAGAAACATCCAACTTTTACACAGCAATTCACCGCAAAAAATGTCCCAAATCACGGAATAGGCATAGGGACATAAAGGGATGGAGTCGGTCGGCACCTTCCGTCTACCTTCGGATCCCATCAGAAACCCTAAAATACGATTACAGTCGCGTTAAGGAAGAGAAGGCAACGGAAGCTATAAACTTAAGAGAGAGAGAGAGAGAGAATATATATATATATATATATATATATATATATATATATATATATATATATAGGCTGGGCCACCGTTATTATACTTCAAGGACAAATGCGCTAAATTTAAACTTCGTAAGGACTAATATGCAAAAAGATGCCCCCACCGTCCCTATATACCACAAGCACACGCGGTGTTCTCTAGGGTTACGGTTTCAGAGTCTCGCCGCCATGGATCCCTACCTCTTGGGTCACTCTACAACTCAGAAGTAGCCTAACCTCGTCTCTCGACTGAGGCTTGCAGGGGAAGGGTAAGATGTGTTTTTGGTAGATTTCAGAGATCATCGGGCATCAGACGAACGCAGTTGATGCCGATGTGGGTACGTAATGGTCTCACAGTACTGAAACCCTATGCTCTTTGCGTCCGTTCTTCCGATCCGTTGATTGCAATCGCTGATGAACCAAATAGCTTCTTTGATTTTGCGTCTTTTCCGGGTTATTATATTCTTGATCGGAGTCCGATCTACGTTTTCGATTCAATGCAATGGCATTTCGAGTAGAATCTCTTCTTCCTCACGGTAGGGACATGTCCTAATTCTTGGTGGGGCGCTCAAGTTGCGCACTTGCTGTAAATATGGACAGAGAACAATTTGGTGGAATTTAGGTGGGCTTTCTGTGAGACGTGGGGAGTCCATAAAGGGCCACCATACACATAGCGCATGCGAAGGAGATGGAAGAAAGAGGCTTTGAAATGTGTCCTTCCTCGTTCATTCTTTTCTTGTTGCCTTTTTTTGCCATGTTTGATTTGTGCTTTTTCATTTCGTGTCATTGTTTCGTTGTTCCCTTTGCCGACTACTGTATTGTCTCTGATCAAACATGTAAAAGGCTTACAATAGATTTTATAATTTTATTTTGATTAACTTTTATGGTTGTTTCAGATTTATAAATGTAGGTTATGTATAGTTATGCATATAGTTATCGTGCATATGCAAAACTACATAGAAACAAGTCATTCAAACTATTATTTTGGGAGGGATCTAACTCCATAAAGTTGAATAGGCCTTTATGGTAGTATCTAGGGTCTTCCTTAGGCATATCAAATTTTACATCGGATGAAAGTCTTTGTTATCAGCATATAGAGAGTTATGTACCACCGAAGGAGAATTCTAAGTGCAAGTGCCAATAACTCTCGGGATGAGAACTTGATCATACAGAGATATTATCGAAGCGGTTGGAGAGTTTGGATTATTTCAAAACTCATATTCGCTTAAGTGAGCTCAATAAGTTATATGACAAGATCGAGTAAGCGAATATTACTATCGAGGAAGCAAAGGAAAATAGAATCGGCTTGAGCCCTGCAACATGATGGCAGAGACTATGCATTAAAGTTGTAGTTTTTCTTTTCATTGACCAAGGAAAATTGTTCGGAGAATATAGAGGTGTTAAAATAAATTGTCGAAAGAGGCGAAGAAGCGACGATGAGTCTAGAGGGACTAGGCTACCCAAAAGCAAGCGTCGGTTAGAATAGAGATGGACTCATATGAGTCTCATAGTGTCGCAAAGGTAGAACTATTGATCATGAAGAAAAGGATGCATATATGAGGCAACAGATAGTAGGGTAATGGGCATGACAACATTATGGTACTGTAGAGGTAAAACTTTTATGGAGTTATCGATCCCTTGCTTTTATGAACGGAGAGCGTTAGATCGTAAAAAGTGCCGAGGAGATGGAGCATGTAGAGGCAAACTTTAAGTATCAAAACAAGACCAAAGGGTAATGGCCAAAAAACTTTATAAGACTGGTGTTAACAAGTTTCTCATCAAAATAATTGAAAGTGAGGGATTTCGAGTCGATGCAAGAGTACTTGACCAAGGAACGAAATAAGCAGTATACAGTGTTATACATTTTTTACTCAAAGGAGTAGCTGACAGAAATGATGGAGAAGACGATATAATCCCAAAAGTGATCAAAATTAGTTGATACTTCCTCTAAATTGAGGTAAAATTTTACTCTTCAAGTAAATTTTTTTGCATTTCAGAAGTTTGATGATAATGAGGTAAATCACATTAGCTAACTCAAGGAGTGCAAACACTTTGGGTGTTTTGAAAGTGTCAGTAAAGAACGGGTGAAGGCTAGTAACCAATTCAATGCATGGTATATAACCATTAAGAAGGTGGGTAAAGTTAGTAACATTTGTCTTCTTAACTCTTAAAAGAATGAGCGAAATCGAATATCTCAATTCTCTTATTTATCTAGTAGAGGAGCGTTGCACATGTTCAAAGATCTTTTGAAGAAACCTAGTGGAAAACAATAATTGTTTAATCCTCGCCAATGATAATCGGTTCTACCAAGAACATCCTATTGCTTCATTTCCTAATAGAATGACAATTGAAAGCGAATATGATGCGAACCTACTTAAAGACGATAAATAATTAAAAGTAAAATCAATAAGCAAATTTTATGTAGAAAATACTTTAATAACTTCAAAGTCGGTGAGGCGATGCTCATCAAAACTCTAATAGACATCCAACCAGTTTAAGCAATGTGAGACATTTGAGAGATTGGTACACAACAACAAAGATATTTTCCTTCATCTAAGGGATTTGAATGAACCAATAAAAATAAGCACAATTCGACTGACCTCACACCAGAGTCATTAGCAAGTTGAAGCAATGTGATGGATTAAAGTTCGACTAAACGATAATGACGAAAAGCAGTTGAGAGTCAAGAGGCATATTGCAATTGGAGTAGAAGATTGAAGATTCAGCAAAAGCAAGAAGATGCAGCATCCACAAAGATTATAACGAGAGTGTTTGATGTCATGGACAAAGTTATAAATAGTATGTTTGATGTAATACTTATGTATGATCATGTCTTACGATTTTATTTAAGCTTTGCACAAAATATAGAAGGCTTGTAGTAGATTTGATGGCCCCATTTTGATTAATTTTTATAGTCATTTCAGGCTTGTAAACACAAATTATGTGCATCATCGCACAAAAGTAAAACTGCTTAGAAACAAACCATTCACGCAATTATTTTAGGGGTTTTTAGCTCCATAGAGTAGTATGAAATGTTCAGCATAGTACCCAAGAGCGACCATAGTAGCACATGACTAGATGGGCCTATAGGATAGTATATAGGATTGGTTCGAGACCTTGTTCCGCAACAATATTATATGGACACTTATGAGGAATTTTGATCATGGCGAATCACTTTAGACCTTTGTCATGCAACTATGTAGGAATTCAGAACTTACAAAATCTATGTTTGTAATTTACATTATCTGCTTGCTAACATAACTATTTGTAGGATCTCAAATTAAACATTTTTTCTAACATATCTTCTCTTTCTTTTGCAGATCATAAAACTTTTCGAAGAGACCAACCCTTTATAGACAAACACGGTACACCATCCGTATTCACCGTAAACAAAACCAACTAAGATTAGTATCTCTTTTTCGTATTCACCGTCGTAACACCAGTACATATCATCCGTATACTTCCAGGACTGCTGCTCGAGAAGATGACTGGTGTTATGGAACAACGTGTTCAGCTTTATTGTTTCTTGTGCAATTGCAAGAGACGAGGAGCAAGATAGAGTTTTTTCTCTGCTGATCAAAGTTGATGATAGGGTTCAGCTTTATTGTTTCTTGTGCAATTGCAAGAGATGATGAGCAAGATAGTGAGCCTTTTCTCTGCCGATCAAAGTTGATGATACGGTAAATAAATAATAAGGATCCTCATCTAGACTGCAGAATTTCCCTTTTTTTATCTCGTACGATTACCTCGTGAGAGGGGATGGAAGGAGGAGAACAAATGCAGCAGCTGCCGTATGGGAATATGCAAGTAGGCCTCAATCCATTCGTTCATTTTTCTACGCATCTGTGTACTCCATCCCCAATAAATCTGTACAATCCATAGCTAAACTCACATTTGCAGGCAGCACAGAACATCCAAGCAATAATTTAATTTCCAAGTCGTCACACACGCTTCTTCACCATACCATATTACCATTCAACAACTCATTCAATCAAATCATGAAACCTATTAAGCCCCATCAATTTCACCAACATCATATTTAAATACACTCCAACCCCCTAACATTAGACTCCTACAAATACACACGTTATACCAGCTTGAGCTCATGTCACTCATTCAATATATACCTACTGTATCAACCTACCCTACGGGAGCCCTGAACCTGTACATCGTAAATGGCAGGTGGTTGATAGCCACCCCCAATAACGAACCGGTAGAACTCCAGGAACTTTGGTTCTTTTCCAATCATCGGTGCAGCCAAAGATGCTGCTGTGGAGGAGCTTATCTAGGTGAATCAGGGAAGCATGGTCGAAACCACCACACGTGGTTCATGATTCAGGAGCCACATCTGCATTGACCATAAAAAAGAAAGCATAAAACTTCAGTAAATAACACAAAAATCAAATCCTCCAAATCTATCACCCACAGCATGTGTTAAAAGGTCCCAACTATTTGAGGTTGGCTCCTCTTCAGATATCACCAATTTGGTGAATTTAAAGTAGAAATCATTTAGTGTCAGTTGCATTCCCCAAAATAAACTAAAACATCAAGCTCGATGACCAATAATGTCACCTCATACAGTCCAATAATATCAGCATGTAGGCTAATTTCAAATTAACAAAACCACACAAACCTCAATGAAATATTAACAAATATGAAATTAAGACACTCACGGGCGGGCGGGGGTTGGGGGGTGTATATCAAAGGTTCCTAGCCAAAACTTCATGCCATACAGGTAACAGCAATATAAAATTTTGTAGAAAGTTACTGTAGATCAGCTTTCCTACATTTGCCAGATAAGATTACCTACAATCCTTCT